GTCTGTAGGAGGGATGTGCTGTCGGGGGTCTGTAGGAGGGGTGTGCTGTCTGGGGTCTGTAGGATTGGTGTGCTGTCTCAGGGTCTGTAGGAGGGATGTGCTGTCTGGGCCCGGGGTCTGCAGGGTATGCTGGAAATCTGAGTGCAGACAGCTACCAAGCTGCCCCCAGGTCAGCTAGTGAGGCTGCTGGAGAGCTCCTGCCACACACGGCAAGGGAGCAAGGAGGCAAGCCTCGGCCTCAGCCAAATCCCCGTCAGCAGGCCTCTGCCTTGACAGTGGCCAGTCCTGGGAAGGGACCACACAGCTGGCTTCGCCCTGTAACAAGGTGGCAAAAGCGTGCACAAACCATGGGCAAACGGCTTCCTCTCACCTCCTTCTTCTGAAGCACATGATGCAGTCTATTTTCAGCTGCTATTTTCTTGACAAAACTTTTTGTCAGCCCCCCCAGAGGGAAGATGGTTCTTCTCAGGGCATCCTGGGAGACCTGGCTGAGAAAGAAGGTCTGGTCTTTAAAGCTGTCAGCGGCTTGGAGAAGTTTTACAGCTGCCAGGAGTAAAGAACAAAAAATGTTGCCTTTAGTAACACCTTCTGTTTACTTGGTCACCTGCCTGTCACTAGCTGACAACTGGGAAAAAACCAGTGGAGATGCTCACCCCTTGCTCATCTACCTCAGAAAAATAGAGCAAGGTCACTGGTTCACAGACATTCAAAGGTGAAATACCACCTGAAGCGATGAAGGAAACTGCCTGGAGTCCACTGACGCCTGCCAGATGCTGCTCTAACACTGTAATAAAAGGAAGGAAGCGGCTACGCTAAGCTGTGAACAACTACGGGCTTTAAGCGTCTGAGCCACTGGCTCCATGGAGGAGGACCAGAGCTTCCTAGCTGGGAACTGTTGGGTTCCAGGCGCCCGATTCCAGGCTGGAATCAGGATGCCAGCGTTTCAGCTTTTCACCCTTGCTCACATCAGTGTTAGAGATGCCACAGGCCATGCGCAGAGCACGCCACGAGAGGCAGGCATCCCAGTGGTGGGCCCGTGGTGCACAGTAACCCTGGAGCGCTGCCCCATGCTGGCTCTCATGCAAGTCCCATTTTACTGACAAGAACTGCAGGCAGGAAGCCCACAATGCTGCAGAGCCCTGCACGCCAGGTGAGTTGAGTCAGCAGCACTGTTTCAAGATTAGCTCTGTGAAACAGTGTTGGATGCAGAAATACCTCCTAACATCGCAAGTATCATATGTTTTCTTCTAGTTCTGACTTATTTTTAAACAAATTAAAAATCTGAATTAGTTTGTAGCTTGTAGTCCTAGCTACTCAGGAGGCTGAGATCTGAGGATCGTGGTTTGAAGCCAGCCTGCGCAGGAAAGTGTTCTACTCTTCCCCCAATGAACCAGTAGAAAGCCAGAAGTGGGGCTGGGAGTGTGGCCTAGGGTAGAGCGCTTGCCTAGCATGCATGAAGCCCTGGATTTGATTCCTCAGTACCACATAAACAGAACATAAATAAAAGAAATAAAATATGGGAGAGAGAGAGAGAGTTTATCTTTTTTTTTTTAAGCCAGAAGTGCAGCTCGAGTTCAAGTGCTAGCCTTGAGCAGGGACAGCACCCAGGCCCTGAGTTCATGCGCTAAATAAGACCAGCAAAAAGGTCTTAACTTTGCACAAAGGAAGCGGCTACGCTAAGGTGTAATGAATGGAAGGAAGCAGCTACGCTAAGCTGTGACGGCAGGAAGGAAGTGGCTACGCTAAGCTGTGACGGCAGGAAGGAAGCGGCTACGCTAAGCTGTGACGGCAGGAAGGAAGCAGCTACGCTATAATGAATGGAAGGAAGCAGCTACGCTAAGCTGTGACTGGCAGGAAGGAAGCAGCTACGCTAAGCTGTGACGGCAGGAAGGAAGCAGCTATGCTAAGCTGTAATGAAAGGAAGGAAGCAGCTATGCTAAGCTGTGACGGCAGGAAGGAAGCAGCTATGCTAAGCTGTAACGGCAGGAAGGAAGCAGCTACGCTAAGCTGTGACTGGCAGGAAGGAAGCAGCTATGCTAAGCTGTAATGAAAGGAAGGAAGCAGCTACGCTAAGCTGTGACTGGCAGGCCGACACCAGGCCCACTGGTACATGGGAACCTCAGCACGCCTCCGCTTCGTCCATCCATTTGCTCTCCAGGCCATGGTGGTGGTCACGGGGCCAGGCCCACAGCTACCGCCAACCAGGGGCCAGGCCTCTGCTCTGCCCTGCCCGATCTCTCAGCCACGGCCACTAAACAAGCAAACAGAGCCGTGGTGTGCCCCACACAGCACAGACACCACCACGCCGCCGGCCCTGCACTCCACACCAACTCAGCCACGCCGCCGGCCCTGCACTCCACACCAACCCAGCCATGCCGCCGGCCCTGCACTCCACACCAACCCAGCCACGCACCAGTGCGACGTCCTAGGCAAGGGGAGTATCTACTCAGGATGGGAACACCCCATCAGCTCCAGCACCTCAAAGCCTTGCTGACGGCGAGTCCTATAGAGGGGGCTGTGCATCTGGTTCTAAGCCAGGTCCTGGACACAGCAAAAGGGGCCAGAAGAGGCTCAGAGACGGCGGCCACGACCCCCTTCCACCAATGGGACAGTCAGTAGGGGCTGCTTGAGCACTTCCCTTGTGCAGACGGCAGAGAAGCCAAGATGGCCCCTGTGCCGGGCACCAAGATCACCACCGCCTGCTCACAGGGCTTGTGGCGCCGCAGAGGGTATTCAGGGAGCCTGGCCCAGCACGGAGAGCAGGTCAGGGTGAGCTCCACCCCTCGGCACCCAGGCCCGCGGCACCCTGCTCCTGCCAGGGTGTAGCCTGCTAGGCAGCTGCAGGTGGGCCGTGCGCGGGGTCTGCCAGGCCCATGGCCCATGCTGTGGTGTGGAGCCTGCGGACCTCTGTGCTCGTGTGCCCCAGGCCAGGCACACTGCAGCCTCCCCGCTGCCTGACACGCCTCGCCAGAAAGGCGAACCCTCACCTTTTGGCATTTACAGGCAAGTCTGTGCCCAGTCATGGCATGAAGCCACCGCACTGCTAGCTAGCCTGCGCTGTGTCACACCAAATCTCAAGCCTCAAAAACTAAGCCTACAGCACCCCCATTACTGCCCAATATGTCCTCGGATGTTTCTGGGTATTAACAGTACCAACAGATGACAACGGCCCTAGATATGATTCTTGATTTTACCCAACCACCATCCAGGCGCACACTCGCTCGCGCCCCCCCCCCCCCGCCCGCCCTCTCCCAGTCTCGAACTCAAGGCCTTGTGCTTGCTGAGTAGAACCATTCTTCCAGGTCATTTTTGATTTAGGTTTGTTTTTTTGTTTTTCCTGAATAGGGTTCTATATTTTGCCCTGGATCAGGCGTGGACTGTGATCCTCTCAGCCTGGGTAGCTGGGATGACAGGTGCATGTATTTGTTAACTTATTCAATTTTTGGCCTGAGCTGGCCTCAAACTACCCTCCGCCCGCTCTCTGCCTGTGGAGAAGCTGGCACTGCAGTCGTGAGCCATGGTGCCCAGAGGGGCACCTTTCTGTGTCCACCCACGGGCCCTCAAGGAACGAGCCCCACTGGTAACTGCTCCTTTGCACACATGACTCAAACCACCAGCGAGCTTGGAGCTTGGAGCGCCCAGGCAGGGCAGCGTGGCAGCGTGGCATGCGTGCTCAGACCACAATGTCTTTCTTCCACATATTTCACTGTGACCTGAGCACTTGAACTTACCATTTCGCACTTCAAATCGATTCCTGAAAAGCCCTTGTGGTCTCTTAACGTGCTTCTGCTCAAAGACTTCTTCATCTTCCAGTGAAGTCCTGGCATAGTGACCGGTGGCAACGGCATCTGCTCCTGTGGGATAAACATCCAAGGAGGCCATGTGAGGCTCCACAAGCGCCGAGGCCGTGGGGCACTGCAGAGTGGCCTGACAGAGAAAGCCACGCACGCATGTGTGCGTCCACACCCTCCAACAGCAAACCCTGGGGGCAGAGGCCCACATGACACCTGAGGCAAACTACCACAGCCCCTCATTTAAGGTTAGACAAAACCTTGCTACAGAGGTTTAGGACATCTTTTAAACGTCAGTATCTACCTATCAGTCATTCTAGCTTAATAATCACATGTGCAGAGTTATTTTGCTGGTCCTGGGGCTTGAACTCACAGTTTGGGCACTGCCCAAGCTTCTTTTCCTCAAGGCTGCTTGAACTACAGCTCCATTTCTGGCTTTTTCTGTGATTGGAGATAAGAGTTTCACGGACTTTCTTGACTTCAAACCATGATCCTCAGATCCCAGCCTCCTGAGTAGCTAATAATAGGCATGAGCCACCAAGGCCCAGCTTAATTGTGTTTTTCACATGCCTTTTTTTAAAAAGTGTACGCGGGGGCTGGGAAGGTGGCTCAGTGGTAGAGCACTTGCCTTGCATATATGAGGCCCTGGGTTCAATTCCTCAGCACTACATAAGCAAAAAGAAAAAAAGCTGCAAGTGGTAGAGCGCTAGTCTTGAGCTGAAGAGCTGAGGGACAGCGCCCAGGCCCAGAGTTCAGGCCCCACGACTGGACCCCCCCCCAAAAAAAAAAAAGTGTACACAGTTAACTTACTGCTGATTTAAAGTTACAATCTAGTTAAAGCTACAATCTAAGCGTCCTCCTCATCCTGGGGCACTGTCACTTCTCAGCCCTGTGGCCAGCGACCCCACAGCACCTCTCCTCAAAATCGCTTGAGTGATGACATTGTCTGTGCCACAACGAACAGCCCCTGCTCCACTTCATCAGAAAGTTCTTCCTCAACCAGTCAATGTTTCCTTCTTGAAGAGGAAACTTCACAAGTTTTAGCTTCTGACTGTGTGAAGATCTGAGTTTTTCAAACAAAAGCGTTTCTCACCGAGATTATCCATGGCGTAATGGTAGAAGCAGCGGAACTTGATGTGCTTGTTGCACATTATGTCGGGGTTGGGTGTTCTTCCTTTTTCATACTCATTCAGAAAGTCACTGGGATAAGAGAAAAAGACTTTTTAGTTCTTTCTGGTGTGGTGGGGAGAAGAGTGGAATGGGATTTGAACTCAGCCTCATGTTTATACTCTACCACTTGAACCATATCACCAGATCTTTTTTGCTTTTATTTTCCACAAAGAACTTCATTTTTGCTAACTTCAGACTTTGATTCTACCTCACCATGTGTACCTCACCATGCCTAGTTGACTTTTTAGTTCTAAGTATGAAGCAAACATCAGAAATTAAATCAGCTCAATTATTTGTTTAATGTGCATTCTTTTTTGTGCCAGTTTGGGGCTTGAACTCAAGGCCTGTGCACTGTCCCTGAGCTTTTGTGCTCAAGGCTACTGTTCTACCACTTTGAGCCAAAGCACCATTTCCAGCTTTTTGTTAGTTCACTGGAGATAAGAGTCTCATGGACTTTCCTGTCTGGACTGGCTTTCACCATCATCCTCAGATCTCCGCCTCCTGAGTAGCTAGGCTTACAGACATGAGCCATGATGCCCAGCTGGAATTTCTTCTTGCCTTACCAAAACTTCTGCAACACTGATGAGCTCCAGTACCCAGCCATTACCCCTATTTTTGTCAAGCATCTGCTCAGAGCCGAGGGCCCATGCCAGAGGCTGAGATAACTAAGAAGCCTGCACAAAGAACGAGGTGGGTGCTGTGGCTCCAGCAGCACTGCCTTCCCGGGGCTGGCATGAGAAGAGGCGGGCACACACGCCTGCTCCCCACAGCTTCTCAACACAAGAGGCCCGCGGGAGGGGAGACGGACCTGGGTCATGAAGGAGACAAACACCGAGAGTCGCAATGCGACTCCGCCACACGGGGGGCGGTGTTCTGTTCTGACTGGACATGGGAGAGGTCACTATCACAAGCAAGCCTGGCGAGAATTTCAATCTTAGGATTCACTCCGAGCCTATTCTAGGAATTAAAAAAAAAAATCAGTACATTTTGGTATGTGTGACTATTTTCTCATTTGAAGCTTTCTGATGAGGACTTACAAAGGTAACGATGGCCAAGATGCACTGCGAGAGCAGAATAGGTCTGTTCCCCATCACGCTCCAGATCTGCAAGAACACGCCATGCACCGCTTCACCTGGTGAAGGCAGCAGGCTGTCCGCTGGACAGCCCCAAAGGAAATGTAAAAATTCCCAGCTCTGTGTGTGGCCATGGCCCAATAAACTCCCTCCACCACAGACTCTGAGCCATACGTGAAAAAGAGATGAATGCTTAACCAGGTTAGGTGTGATATGTGTGGTTAGCTACTTCCAGAACAGAAGATGGGAACGTGTACCCGAGGCATTAGCGGACACTATGGAGGAGCAGCCCGGCCTGATCCTCCAGAAGGAGGACCCTTCTCACCTGGGTGAGGGAGATGCCAATTAGGAGAATAGAATACTTGGGCTGAAAGTATGGCTCAAATGGTAGAGTGCCTATCTAGCAACCCCAGTACTGCCCAGGGTAAAGAGAAAAAAAAAAAGGGACTTGAACTGTCTTGAGGCCAAGGGGGTCTTAAACAAGGGGCTCTTTTTCCCCCTGAAGGAAATTTCTGGGCTAGAGAGCCCTCCCTGAGAACACCTGAACTCAGCTGGAGGAGCACGCCAAGCCACACCCATGAGCAGCCAGGACCAAGCAAAAGGCACGATGGACCACAGTTTGCCCGAGCCCCAGGAACAGGGCTGTGACCACAAAGCTGCAGACCCTCACAGCGCCACGGCCTTTCAGTCCCTCGGGAGCAGCGCTCATGGGGGCGTCCGGGAATGTGGAGAAAGGATGCGGTGGCACACACTGGCCGGGAAGCGGGGTTTTATCCCAGCTCTACTCCTCTCCTCTACCACCTCCGCCTCTCCTCTTCCTCCACACTGCCTCGTACCCTACGTGAGTGTCTTCTCTCCTCCTGGGCCATTCCACTCAAGCCCCCCTTCGGGTCAGTGCAGTCGCCTCCCGTGCACTCCACGCTGGTCCACCTCCTCTCACCGGAGGCATGCCCACCCGTGCCACCCCCCCCACACACAGGCCCCACAGGATCCCCACAGCAAGGTGCACACACCTCTTGGTTCCCTAGCATGCAGTACACTCAGTGATCACAGTGGGGACGGCAGTAGACTTTATCAAAGTTCTGCTTGACTCTTATTTTGAAAAGGCATGGGGCAGTGTACCGCAACTCTATCTCCGTGCCTCTCAACTACTGACACACACGGCACCCACGTGATTCAGAAAGGCAGAGAGACTTTTAGAGGCAAAGCGGCAGGGGAGTGCCGAGTGACACGGTACTCAGGCGCTGAAGCTGTCACACTTGGGCACCACTGCCAGAAGGCCCACCAGGCTGCGGGCCGGCTCCTCTGGCTGTGAGGATCCTTGAAAGGAGAGCACGCAGCACACCGGAGCCCCCTGTGCACTGCCCCCCTCACCCCCCAACCCACCTGAACACCTCATTCCAGTACTCCTTCACGTAGGACACTTGGTGGAAAGGGATGTCGAGGATCTGGCAGACCCGGTAGGCATCCTCGCAGTCTCTGTCGGCCGTGCAGACGCCATGCTCATCCAGCGAGTCCCAGTTCTTCATAAACACCCCCGTCACCTGGTAACCTGGGGGAGGAGAGCGGATCACAGGATGCCGAGCTTCCCGCCACACCACTCCACATCGCCGCACCACACGGCATGCCATGCCACGTGCCGCACCACCACGCCCAGGAGCTGCTCCAAGGCCCCCAGAGCCTTGCACAGCACGCGTCCCATCATGCAGGGCCCCCAAAGGGGGCAGGGGATTTTTTTCCTTTTTATGTCTCTACCTATGCATCTTCAAGTTCGTTAGCCTGCAGGAGGAACTGAGCCAATGATTCACAGATCAGCAGCAAATGAAAACACTACCACTCAGTTACCAAGAGCCTGAATTCATTTCAAAAGTTATGTTCTGCTACCAAGACTCAGAAGTTATCAGATCAAAGACAATTACAGGCCAGGCGTTGGTGGCTCACACTGTAATCCTAACTACTCAGGAGGCTGATATCTGAGGATCACAGTTCAAAGCCAGCCAGGGCAGGAAAGTCCATGAAACTCTTATCTCCAATAAACCACCAGAAAACTGGAAGTGGCGCTGTGGCTCAAGTGGTAGAGCGCTTGCCTTGAGCTCAAGAGCTGAGGGACAGCGCTCAGGCCCAGACCGACAAAAAAAAAAAAAAAAAAGACAATTACAGTTTTGCGTATTTTATCTGGCACAGGAGCAACTCAGTGATGAGTGCTTGCTTAGCATGGGTGAGGCTCTGGCACCAAAATCAATTCCCAGCACCAAAGTGTAAATTTTGGATATCGCTTACTATAAAGGCTCTACCACTGCATATTTCATAATGCAGCTTTCCCCTTTCCTATTGTGATACAGCACACAGCCACGTATGAGAAAGACCTCTGTGGCCCCCACACCCTCCATTCAAACTATCCCATATGAACAATGTCTCTTCTACAAAGGAAATACAGAGCACTTGTCCGCTAAGTCTTAAGAGTGCCTCATGAGACAAGGATTTGCCAACAAACTTTGGTCCAAGTGACAATGTCATCATATTCACAAGGCCACATTGGCCTCAAGCAGGCCCTTACTCCTGTGTCTGGAAGCCCCTGATCCTCCTATTCTAGAACTTACCATACTGTGCTCAGCTCTTCAGCCAGTCTCCAGCCCTTCCTAAAGCAGGAAGCTCCTCAAGTGTAACTGTGCTTAATTCAAGCCTGTGTCTACATGCTGACAGTCCCCACAATGTCCAAGAAAGAGTTTGTCAAATGAATAAACCCTAAATACAGAGGCTTTTTGTTTGCTTGTGTGCTAGTACTGGGGCTTGAACTCAGGACCTTGTGCTCTTGCTTGACTTTTTTTTTTGCTCAAGAATGGCATGCTACCACTTGAGCCACACCTCCACTCCCAATACTACTATCACTACTTCTTTCTTCTCCTTCTCTTTTTTGAAGGTATTGAGTTAAAAAATCCTGGAGCCTTGAGCTTGATACCACTGAGTCTCCAGCTTCTATGCACAGAGTTATAAGACTCTGCTCTTCTCACACCTCACTTGCCCGACTGTTCTTCCCATGAGCCACTGCTGGGCGCACAGACCGTCACTCTACATGGCTCCTCAACTCCCCACGGGACATTAATTAAAGAGCCTTCAATGCCAAATCCAGAGGACAATGCTTCTTTCTGGTATTTCTATCAGCTCTCTCCACAGAGGAAAACCCAAGGAAAGCTACAATATGATCAAGGGGGACAGTGTGGAGGGAGACAGTCTTTCTCAAGAAGGAAAACAGTGTACCTGGAAGAACATGGCTAGTCTACTTCATCTCCCCAAACACCCTCCTTCACAAACCTTCAACCGCTCGGACCTGCCCATCAGTATTATCCTCAAGACCCCAAAATAGTACTCCTCTGTGCCCTGCCCTGCCTGCCCTGCCCAGACGCAGCCAGGACCTGGGCCTCTGCACTCCTGCCTGTGCTGCTGACTCTACCTCTGCTCAAAAACCTCCACCTCCAGGACGCTGACTTTGATCCTTTCTCTCTTCCCAAATGATGTAAGACGGAGGTCCGCTGACCTCTGCCCTGGACACTTGACTACACCTTTGCTAACAGCAGTGGCGGCTGATCTTTACTAACCCTCATTACCCCTGCCTGTGCACTAGACAAGGGTGAGACCTTTTGAATCCTACAGCAGCTCCCGGAGTGGATAAGGGCTTGCACGTCGGCAGGTGGCTCTGCGCACGGGGACCCGGCCAGGCCCGGAACACCTGTGAGCACTCTGGGGGAGTCTGTAGCGCAGGCAAGGGAGAGCGCAGAGCAGCTCGGAGTCAACCAGGAGCCGAGGCCCGGCCTCCACGCAGCGGCCTGCACCGGGCGGGCGGACAGGCCCAGGCCGGCCGAGGCCCGGGCGGCACCCGCAAGGGTGGGCCCCGCCCTCCGCGGGCGCAGGCCCCGCCCTCCGCGGTCTTTCCTAGCCCCGCCCCCGGAGCGCAGGCCCCGCCCCTAGGCCCCAGCCTCGCCACGCCCACGAGGTGGGGGCCGCGCGGGAGCTCGCGCTCGCCCGCACGGACCCCCGGCGGCCTCCGGCGCCGGCTGAGGCCGGGAGAGGCAGCGGCCCGTCCGAGTCCGCGCGGGGCGGAGCCCCTGGCGTGGACCGCGCCCCTCACCTCTCCGCTTCAGCAGCAGCGCGGCCACGGCGCTGTCCACGCCGCCGGACAGCGCGCACACCACGCGCCGCGCCACCTGCATCCGCCCGCCGCTCGCTCCGCGCCCGCCTCCCGGGCCGCCGCCGCGCCGCGCCGGAAGTCCCGCCCTCGCCGGCGTGGGCGCTGCGGGCCGGCCGGAAGCGCACTCCCGACTCCCTGCGTTCCGCCCCGCCGGCGGGCCCCCGCGGTCCTTCCCGCCGCGCCGCGGCGCCGACTGGGAGCCGTCGAGGCACGACGCGGCTGCCGGCGGAGAACGCACTGGAAGGGGCGCGGGGCGCGGCGCCGGCCGGGAGGCCTGCGGAGGGCGGTGTGCGGGCCTGGCCGGTGCCCCCCTGGGCGGCCGCAGCGGCCTCGGGGGAGGACAGCACGCGGGCCAGCTCGGACGGCGGGACACCGCAGCCCGGCGTGCGGAGGGTGGGGGCCATGAGTGAAACCAGGGCCCGGCTGGCCAGGGCCCGCGGCCAGCAGCTCACCGAGGACGCCCGCACGGGCCAAGTCCAGGCCTTGTGCGGTTTGGATTTTGTCTTAGGAGGATCCCGGGGACTTGAACCCAGGGCCTGGGTGCTGCCCCTCGGCTTTCTCATTCTAGGCTGGGACTCAGCGCAGACCGAACTATAAAGCATAAATCTTAGCCTCAAAACAGTTCTTACCCCTAGAATGTGCCCAGTACTGTTTTGATTTTTATTGTTTAGACAGGCTGATACAACCCTGACTTCATGAAGGGTGTGATGACTGGAAAAACCGAAGGGATGAAGTGCAAATGGGGCTGGGAAGGTGGCTCACTGGTAGAGCGCTTGCCTTGCGTACACGAGGCCCTGGGTTCGATTCCTCAGCATCACATATGCAGGAAAAGCCGGAAGTGGTGCTGTGACTCAAGTGGTAGAAGGCTGGCCTTGAACTGCAGAGCTGAGGGACAGCGTCCAGGCCCTGAGTTCAAGCCCCACGACTGGCAAAAAAAAGTGCACATGGTTTTAAATCAGGCCAATTACTCCTCCCCCATCCCTCCTCACACACAGGTTGGCAATAAAATTGTGTTCCTCAAAAGGTTAACCGTGGGCATACAAGCACTCAGTGGGGGCAGTGGGAATTTAGGGTACACAGTGCCCTGCTCGAAGCCTCTCATTTTTCTAAAGACTACCTGAAAGGCATTGAGTTGTATGTCTCCCTTGTCCTATAAGATCTGTAGGTGCAATTAGCTAGACCCCATGTGTCCTGCACAAGTCTTTTGGACCTCTTGCCTGGGGTGAGGGATGGCTGTTTGGGTGTACTTCTCGCTCTGCAGTACATGTGTTAACTGTTATGCCACTGTCCTGAGTGATCTCTGGCACAGGAGGCCTGGAGGCAGCAGGAAGTAGTCACCACGACCAGCACCAACCAATGTCCTTATAGGGTCTTTCCCAAGGGGGAAAAGTGAGAAATCTGGAATTCATTCCACAAGTATTGAGCCTCCAATATGGGTAAGGCTGCATTCTCCTGGGATTTATGGGTACAGGGTTGTAGGACCTCTACCTTTTTGGGCTTGTCTGGTAGAGAGAGACCTTAAAAGCTACTTTAAGTAAACGTGTCTTGGCTACCTCCCCTCAAGCCTTGCACCAAGCCCTTGCTGTGCAGCCCTGTGCCCTGGCCTGGCTCACCCCGTGCCTTCCCCCGCTCCCGTGGCAGGCTCTCCTGGGGTCTGCAAGGCCCTGCCCAGTGGACAAGGAGCTCTGAAGGACAGCACTGATCCCCACCCCCTCCCGTCGCACTGGTTGGGCAGAGCAGACCCTATCCCTGTGTCCTAGTCACTCTTATCAGTGCTGAAGCTTCTATGGCAGTTTCCTCCATCCTCCACCCCAAGGGCCTCCTCTTGGGCCTCCCAGGCCCAACCTCACCACTCAGAGCCACAGAAGCCATGTAACAACAGTGAGACTAACCTACTTCTGGCACTCACGGGACCCTTTTCCCTTAGAATGGCTTAAGTAGCCGGCTGCCACCCTCCCAGATTAAAAGAGGTTCACCTTCCTGTGACCTTCACCATGTCATTCATCTTGTAGACAGTGTATCGTATTTTTCCTCTCTCAAGTCACAGGCCTCCATCGCTGTTGGCAGAGGAGGACCCCTGGGTGAGTCCCAGCCGATAGCCCCTGAGGCCTGGTCACTGGCCTAGCCCCTCCTTAGGTCCAGGCCATCCCTTCCTTACTGCCCACACTTCTCCTTCTAGACCCCAGCTGTCCAGAGCAGTCTCTTCCAGGTACGGTCTGCCACACCAGAACCAGATGGGTCCCCACTAGCTGTAGGTTCTGAGGGGCCTGTGCATACAGGGTGGGCAGGACACCTGCACTTAACACCAGCTCTTAAAGTCTGAAAACTATAGGTCTTGCATAGCAATTGGAGTGATGAAGACAGATAGGTACTTTTGAAAACCAAGTATGCTTTATTAATTAAATTTAACTTACATCTGGAATACGTAACTTTTTACGTAACTTTTTACACAAACTTTAAAACAGCAGCTATTTCACATACAGAAAGCACAAAGCAACATTCCTAACTCCCTACAGAGGAGGGACACCCTCAGGGCCACTGTGCCAATCCCAGGCCCAGCCCACCTTCTAGCCTCAAAAAGATATTTTCTGGCTTTTCCTCCCCCGACTCCCACATCAAACACAATTATTTTCTAAAAAAATTTTTTTCGGTCAAATGCCGCTTCAGTGAAGAGTATTCTCTACTCAGAACTTGAGAAGTGGAGAATCCATGTTTTCCTTGTTGGCCTCGGGGCTCAGCTGGATCAGCGGGGAGCCCAGGTCAATCAGCTGGAAGAGAGCAGAGGGGCAGGTTAACAGCTTCTCTGGGCTGGCCATCCCACAGCTCCCACTCCAGAGGCTGCAATGGCCTAGAAGACAGGTGGACCTGGGGCTTAGTTCCAGAAAAACTCAGTAGCCCAGTTCAGGTGCATTTAAGGGAACCTCAACCACTGTGACTAAGAGACTGGGAGGAATAAAGCCTCAGACCCTCACACATGGTACTGCCCCCTAACACCATGAATTTAAGGGAAAGAAGGGTACAGACAGGCCCTGACATCCAGGAAATCCAGGCCTCAGGGGCAGTGACTTCTTTTTCCTTCTTTTGGGAAGTACTAGGGTTTGAACTCAGGGCCTTGCATGTACCAGGCAGGCACTCTACCACTTGGGCCACACACCCAGTTCTTTGAGCTAACGTGGACCACGATCCTATTTTCACTTCCAGCATAGCTAGACAACGTGCACCCAGCTTTTACCTTCAAGATGGGGTCTCCCAAACTTTTGTCCCGAGTGGCCTCAAACTGCAATTCTCCTGATCTCCACATTCCACCCCCCCCAATCCTCTGTCCCCCAATAGTTAGGATTTCAGGTGTGAGCCAGCATGCCTAACTGGTGGGTGGCTTCTGAGAAGCTGAGGTCGAGTCACACATGGACTCAAGGGATTAAGAACGCAGGACTACAACACCCCAGACCCAAGTCAGCATGTATCACCTGCCGCTGTTCGGCTCGCGGGGGCTTTACTGCACCATTTCTGCCCACATCTGGGGTATTCATCATGAGGTCCATCAGGGGCCTGCTGTGCAGTCCCAGCCCGGCACCCATCTCAGGTGTACTGCAGAAGTTGATGAGAGGGATGGTGACGGGGGGTCTGCCTTCCTCAGGAGCGGTGCTGAGCTGATCCAGCCCCACGTCGATGAGGGGGAGGGCGGCTGGGGGTCTGCCTTCCTCAAGAGCGGTGCTGAGCTGATCCAGCCCCACGTCGATGAGGGGGAGGGCGGCTGGGGGTCTGCCTTCCTCAGGAGCGGTGCTGAGCTGATCCAGCCCC